CAAGCAGTATTTAGCCAAAATGTTGACAGTTTGGTAGACCACCCAACAAAGAAGACAGAATTATCAGACTTTGATTAGTACACTAAGAAGAGGGGAAAAAAACCCCAAAAATATAGGCAAACACAGTTATGGATCTACATAACTAGATTTATGTGACGGAAAATAATAGATACCTGGAAATCAACAAATGCAACAGGAACTCCATTCTTGTTTTGCATCTTCAATTTCAAGAATCCTGGGCATCTACATACAAAAGCAAGCTTGTATAAACTGTAGCAAATAAAAGAAAATAATTAAAAATAAACACAAATGAATATAAGTGACTTAGAACCTTGAAAAAACTTGTGCTAACTCTTGCTCAGAAGACTTTGGACCCAAATTAGCTACAAAAAGTGTTGGACATGGGGGATTACTTTGAGGAGTGTAAGTTGAATTATTCTGTGAAATCATAGTAGCATCTCATATAAGGCACAGAAAATAGAATAACTTCTCAATTAAACCATGCATCATTATATGTAGGACTAATAAAATTTTCCAAAAGCTAAAAAAGAAACATGAAGGAATCTCTCATGTAGTCAGGTCCATGAGTGATGATAAGCAAACAGCATCTGATCAGGGAAAGAAATTTCAGCAGGTAGTAAAAGAAATTTAAGTATGGAGGCATCTAAATTGAGATTTTACTTAATACATCAATTCAAAATACTGTTTAAAATTCTCATTGACATTCAGTATGGCAGAAAATATAATACAATAACATGATATGAATTGTATGTAAGCATACTGATGAAAATGAAATATAATCTAGATTAGGTTGGGTCTATGATGTCTCTGAGCTATGCCGAAATCCAGCTGAGTGTAACTTATACAAACCATAAATACATCCAACTGTTAGTAAATCCTGTGTTTTTTTGACCCTAGATTCATGTATAAGACAAAGGGCTCCAGCCAATGCAGTATCCAGAAATGGTCAACATATGCAGCCTTACACTTGCAAACAAAGAAGCTATATTGGCGGTTCACACATTGGTCACTTAGGTCTGCAAGTAAAGATGCTTGCTTCAAACAATGACAAAAATTTGGAAAAGAAGCTACTATTGACCAAAGACCTTATAAGCACAAAAAGGAATGTACAATATTAACCGCTAGGCCAACGGCACATAAAGTCTGAAAGCCTCTTAGAGAATCGTCCTCCACACTTCCAATCTTGAAACCCACCAATATGAATTCACATAAAAAAGATCTATGTTTCTTTTCACATGAACATGAAGGAGAAAAGTAGATATGTATGTCCAATATTTTCCCCTATCCAACTATAAGTTTACCACTTAAACATAATTACAAGGTGGCAATTAATTGACTCAAATTTCATCCTTTTATTTTTGCCCTCTTAAATAGCTATAGAAAGTGAATTAAATCTAACAAATGTCAGAGCTATAGTGGAGAAGACTAACCAGAAATGCATTTGTGAAAGTAGACAGGGATAGTTATAACTTATAAGTGTTTCATCACCAAAACTCTGGAAAAGAAGGAGAGGTACATATTTTCTAATATGCAGATGTTTAAACAAAAGTCCTTGTCTTATTCTGAAAAGCTAGCTAGATGGTTTATGATCCAGTTGTGGAGTACATGAAACAAAAGAACACATAGTAATCCACGAAAAGTAATACAATGCACTGGAAAGTCAATAAGGAACTTGGGTACCATAGTACAATGATTGAGATGTAAGTAGAAAAGTAAAGCTCACCAACATTTTATGCTTTGCTTCATAACCAAAATTTGTTTGGCTGCAATCACATGCACAAGGAAACTGTCAGTCAGAAACCCCGCAGTAGAACTAAAACCAAGTTAAGTTGATCTTTCAAACTTTTATGTTCCAGACTAGAAACAAAGGAATATAGTACAGAAAATGTATTTAGCAAGGTTTAAAAAAAAAAATCAAATTAAGTAGCAAAGATGTGCTTAAAGTAGTGTGCCATAACCTTTGTGCAGAGGGAAAATCATTCAAGCTGTAAGCAGAATTAACCATTCCAGGCATGTGAATGTGGCTTCCAGCACCTGCTAGTGTGAAGAATGTGCGAAACATGTGTATGCGTGAGCTTCGGAGGAAGGTGTTACATGTGAGTAATTATTGCAAGCTACCACTAGAGATAAGCTAAAATAGTTGAACTGAAATCAGAGCAGTCAGTGACTCTTTAAAAAAATCTATTAAAGGAAGCCAATCTCAGGTAGCATTATGCCTACTAGAAAGTAGGGATACATCAACATTGCCGATACCAGATGACTTAAACATGCAAAGAATGGTTGTCATTACCAGAATCTGAAAAGCCTCTTGAATATGCAACAGATCCTCTAACTCTTTTATCGTAAGAATAAGATACACCATCATCTGCTTACCAGAGGACATAACAGGTTCAAGTTTCAAAAGATAGGAACTCAAGTAATGATGAAAGTTAATAGATGGGATACTATAGGAACCTTATGTGTTATACAAAAGGAAGATATTGAGAAAACTAAATTGTGCACCTGTTCGTGAACGTTTGAACCTAGAATTAGACTTTGCAAGGTCAATGTATAGAGTTGATTCTCTCTCAAGATCAAACATTAGTCCCTGCCAGCAATATCGGATTTAACCATGTGTTTGAAAAAGTTACACAAATATGGCAATAAATACAATCTCCACTTTTAAATATTTCAGAGAGTATGATCTTTAGAATTTTTGAGGGTTTGCAAGAAATTAGATATGAACACCATTTTTTCCAACTCCATTCATCATATATCCAAAGCATCAAACAACTGCACATTATAGCAGGTATACCATACCAGTGCTTTGTAGAAATGGGCGCAGCATGATAATGGACAAGGAATCACGATTATGCAGCAGCGTATGCACTTATTTATATTAAACCTTCAAGGCACTAGATAATTAAGTACAGACAATAAAATTTAAATAATAAATAATGAAAACATATGGAAAGGTGAAAATAAGAACATTTAGGCATTTATGAAGCTATTCAAGTGATAAGACAGATAAAGTACACATGATGAAAGATTGTGGTCAATGTTTTGTAATATTGTAAAATGTAATAGTAGAAATTACAATCATAGAGAACATGCAAATGACATAAGACTTTTTTTATGCTTATTTAGACCATGAAAGTACACATCAGTATGTACGTGGCTGCATTTGCTTTTGTGAATTGCATGTCCCCACATAGGATTTTGCAATAACAGATACAACTTGCAAAGAAAAAACTACAAGCATCAATTCCAATAAGAAAACCCGAAGAACAATATTTGGAATCCATTTTCAAAACAGCATTTAAACTTCATACATTTAGAGCACGCATTGCAGAGAGTGCCGACTGTTGGTCTGTAAAAACAGTGAATGCATATGCCTGCAAAAATGGAGAACCCAAATTAGTGTCCATCAGCAATCAAGCACAAAGGAACATAAAAGTGGAAAAACCAAAAAACTGATGACAGGTCATTGCAGCATGCTACTAGCCCTTTTTCTCTCCAATCATGGAAGGAAAATGGAAAAGGAAACAGCAAAATTCAATTTCACGTGTTTATGAGTGTCCCCTCATAGTAGATGATGTATAAGTGATGAAAAAAAAAAATCTGACTTTTGTGTACAGGCTATCTACTCATAATATTGATAACTAATAACACCCAAAACATCAATATGTAACTTCAACAATGATGAAGATGTTCAGCAAATCAGCACCGACTCTGATTGATAAAAAAAGGTTTAACAAGTACCATTCCTCCTACAAACTTTTAGTTCGCCTGATACATCAACCATGGCACACAATATATGGGCCTTAATTGATGCCACATAGTTGTCATAAATCAATGAAATAATCTTATATTTTCTTCTGAATTTTGTATTCACACTTGGGAAATAAGATCAGTACGCCAGCATTCACCTCCATCAAGTTGAGTTTGAAATGAAACAGAAGAAGAACGATCAATCAATAAATTCTCAAGTCAAAAGAAAAAAAGAACCGAAAGCCCTATTTCCTCGATCAGTTTCTAAGTTCGATACTTCGAAACCCTAACTCTGGGAGTCAATAAAACTAGACCACGTGAAACAATAATCAAGTCAGAAGACCAATGGAGAGGAAAAGCGAAGAAGATGCGCACCTGAGACGACTGGCCGGATCTCCTGAGCTGGGCGGATTGGTACCCAGGGAACTCGCGAAAGAGGTTGTAGATCTCGCGGGGCTTCACGTCGTCGGGAAGGCCCGCGATGAATAGGGTCCTGACCTCATCACGCGAGGGATGGTCGGCGGGCGTACCGTAGTGCTGCGGAGAGAGATGGGTCCGGGACGGCGGCACCGGAGCCGGCAGGTGGTGGTGATACGGCGGATGAGGAGTCCCGGTGAGCGGCGGCGGCGGAGGGTAGTAGGGGTAGTGGGCGGCTACCGGAGGCGGGTGGTAGTAAGCGGCGGCCATGTCGTCCATCGAGAGCGCGACCAGTAACCGCAGTGCGAAGCGTCCGGCGAGTGGGCTCAATAAACAACAGTGTTCTCTGAAACGGGTCGGATCTGGAGTGTATCCGGATCCAATAAAAGATATAAAATTCCATGACGAATATAAGGAAAAAATGATTTATAAAAATAGATCAATAAATTGAGTTCTTTCTTTCTTGTTATGTGAATAGTATGAAATCACAGTTATATTTCCGATGATATAATGCTGCCACGTGTTGAGATACCAAAAGCTAAAGTATATTCCTTGATTTAATATTTAATATTATCTTTCGATTAACATTTTTTTCTCTCTTTTCATTCATCTATTAAACTAATATTTTAAGCAATATGTCGAAAGCAGCTTTTCCTTAAACAAGTACCCTTCTAAGCAAGGTTGACTGCTACTGAATGGAGAAAGGCATGAAGAAGAAGACCAGTGGTCAATTGACTTGAACTTTGAAGATAATATCATGAAATAACAACAACAACAACAACAACAGTTTGGAAGAGAAGAAGAAGGGGAACTTTTATCTCCATTCCATTACTAATCACAGGCCAAGAGATAAAGCTACATAGTACTGCTTTGTGCAACATCTTCGGCCACAAACACTCCATTCCATATCACTACTGCCTTTGTAGCTGAAACCCCTACCATATGATGGCCTTTTGAGTGTGCCTTGCGCACGCTCACGCCAGGGTTGGGCTCACCATGTCCATGCCTAACCGATGGTGGTCGGCCGACCGGGCCCGTCTCGTCGATCCCGAGGTGGGCCTGGTTTGGCCGGACGAACCGGGGCGTGCCACGTCGCCGGTGAGTCAAGCGAGGAGACCGTCAAAAAGGCTGTGACAGGCAGCAGCAGCTGTGCCGATGGATTGTGTATGGATTTGCACCACCGTCCCCAGCTATGGTGGTCGTCCAAAGAAGACATGGTGATGGGCATAAAGCAAGGAACGGAACGAGGATCGCCAGTTCCGGAGTGTCATTGACAGGACTGGCGCACTTACTGGTGTAGTGCCCTTCTCAGGTGGGCATTTCTTTCAGGTGTCAGAAACACTAAGGTGGAGGAGCCGCTGCATGCTCTTGCTCTTCACCGTCCCAGAAAGCTCAGCAGCAGTGCTACTCTCATGTCCCCAACTATCGCTAGCTAACAACAGCAAGCTACCATGTCGATGCATGCTGCTGGTTGCGACGAGCAGCTGAGGTTATCTGACAGCCACTTGCTGGTGACGACGGACATGAAAGCATGCACGCAGGCCGCCCTCCAGTGCGAGAGTTCGCATCGAAACAAAAGAGAAGCAATGTGGTGGCTGTTAGTCTCGGAAAAGCGCAGCACGAAAAGGCAGGAAAGCACGCTCTCAGGTCTCCTCCGCCAACTGTAGTTGACAAAAGAAAAAGGCGTTCAATTTCGCGGTTGCTTTAGGGAGGACAGTGATGGGGGAAAAGAGTCTGTGGACTTCCAAAGAAGAACGACACAGATGTGGCTCAACATGAGGGGAAAGAGACAGCCACCCCTTCACAGAAGCTGAAGATTAAAGAAGACAGGGAACCACAGTCTCATGTTTCTGTGGCAACCATCACATCTGCTTCCGCTCTGGGTGCAACGGGAAAAGCTCTAAGGTCCGGTCGCCGGGCCCCTCCTCTTCCACGTCCAGCTCGAGACTGCCCCAGCTCCTGCACTTGCGCTTGCAGCTCCCGCCATGGAACTCCTTCGTCTCTTCTATCTGTAATTGCACCTTCATCCAGTTATCAACTAAAGCTAAGCAATGCATACGAAAACTTACTCACGATTAGCTCCAAGAATCGTGCTTCATACTTCGGGATGGGGAAGAGGAGCGGCGCTAGCCGCAAGGGCGACGAGCTCGCTGCGTTTCTGCTTCTGGC